TGGACGAACTTTTTTTTTTTTTTTTTTTTGGACCATTTCTCGATTTATGCGTGTCATCCTTGCGCAGGGGCCATTTGCTAATAATTACCCTTCTCTGTATCGTTCCAATTTTAACGGATGTCCCGAAGGACAAGCTGAGAGTTGTGTGTTCGAGTCCTGTATTCGACGTACACGACTCGGCTTCATACCCATAGGACCGGGTAACGAGGGTGGGACCCAGAACCAGGGGTGGGACACGGGACGGAGCCGGGACCGGGAACCACGGTGGCAGAGCGAAGCGAGAGAAGACAGAAAGGCAATGGCTCATTACCGACACTTCGACGGATTTGCTACTTTGCTCTGCGCTCATATTCAACTAGGAGAGTTGGGAGGTCGCGCCGCTCACGGGATGGACAGGATGAGGGATGAGCGGGACCTCGCGGTGAGAGGGGGAGGAGGAGGAGGAGCAGGCGGAGCTCTGTCTGACGTGCTCATACTCGACGGCGAGAGATCCTGCTCATTGTCCCCACTTCTCCGCTGACTGCGACGTCCCGCTCATGGGACGGGGGAGGATGAGCGGGACCTCGCGGTGAGGAGGGGAATGAGGAGGAGGAGGGGCAATTCTCTTCTTCTAACGAATACGTTCCCTGCGACTACGGTAATGCTAATGCTATAGTGCTATAGTGCTATAGTGCTATAGCACTATATAGTGCTAAAGCACTAGCTTGAGTACGGTAAGGTTACAGTCCCTGCCAGTTCCCGCTTAACCTCCTTCCTCATCCGTCCACCTCACTGGTCATGGAAGTGCTATAGACAAAAAAAAAAGAAAGAAAGAGCATCAAGGAACTATTGTACACGCGAGAGGACTGAAGATACCACTGATGCTATCGACAGAGGATGAGAATGAATGAACTATTTTTTCTACAGCCAATAGCACTGACTATTTCAACAGCCAATAGCACTGACTGTAGCAATGACTTTACGAAAAAAAAAAAAAAAGCAATGACTATCGCATCGGCTATAGCACTGCCTACCGGCAGTGCTATCGGCGGAGGATGAGCACGATATAAACTATTCTACAGCTGTGAGCAATGACTATAGCACTGGCTATCGCAATGACTACTACTGCTATCGGCAGCGAATGAGCATGAATGAACTTGGTAGCGTACAGCAGAGAGCACTGACTATAGCACTGGCTATAGCACTGACTATAGCACTGGCTATAGCGCTGGCTATAGCGCTGGCTATAGAGATTGCTATAGCACTGACTACTACTGCTATCGGCAGAGGATGATCATGAATGAGCTGTTGTAGTACAGCCGATAGCACTGACGATAGCACTGGCTATAGCACCACTAACTATAAGCACTGACTACTACGGCTATCGGGAGAAAATAGCATGAATTAAGTATTGTACAGCCGATAGCACTGAGAATAATGCTGACTATAGCAGTGCAATAGCCGTGCAATAGCCGCCGTGCTATAGCAATTACCTCAACGCGTGTACGCTTCTTCTTTTTCTCTTTCTTTTTTTCTTTCTTTTCTTTTTCTGTCTCTGTTCCTTTTCTTTTTTTCTTTTTCTTTTCTTTCCCTTTATTTTCCCCTTTTCCTGTTTTTTCTTTTTTCTTTTTCTTCTTTTTTTTTTCTTTTTTTTGGGGGGTGGTATAGTACTTTTCATCACCACTTCACACACACCGCATAGCATAGCGTAGCCCACGAAGATGCTTCGGTACGGGCAAGCCGGGCCTTGTCCCACTAGCAGCGTCGAGTTTCCTCAACCCCCGAATCTGGACGTCTTTGTGGAGATATGCAGAAATTACGTTGACTTTCCTCAACTGCACCTTTCCGCAAACCACGTCCAAATTCGGGCGTTGAGGAAACTCAACGCTGCTTGTGAGACTTGAGACTTGGGCTTCGGGACGAGCTGCCCACCAATAGATGAGAGAGCATTTAGAGAGAGAGGGAGGGAAAAGAAAAGAAAAGAAAAAAAAGGATCGATCAGAGCACTCCCAGAAAAGAAAAATGGGAAAAAGAGGGAAACAAAATGAAAACAAAGGGGGGAAAAGCGGGGGAGGGGGGGGAAGGGAAGGGGGGGAAAAGTGGGGGGGAAGGAGGGAAGGGGGGGGGGGGGGGGGGGGGGGGGGGGGAAAGAAGCGAGAGAGCAACACTGATCGTATGGAGGGAGAGAAGGACGACGGCGGGAACGAGGAGCCTGCCGACGGGAGACTAATGCCCACGACGAGTCGGTCATTGCTCATATGAGCGACACCACGACAAAGAGGAGGAGGGAGGAGGGAGGAGGGAGGAGGTTAAGAAACGACTCCCCACGAATAGATTGGGTCTGTTTTCTTTCTGTGTAAAATAAAAAGGGGAGTTTTTTTAACAAAAACAAAAAAAGGGGGAGATTTGACAGGCCACCATGTTGCCGTGGTGCTGAGAAGGGCATTGAAAGAACAAGGACCCGAAGGTGATTGAGCAATCGGCCACAAAGGAGGATGAGGAAAGCGAGAGAGGAGGAGGAGGAGGAGGAGGACGGCGAGAGGAGGAGAGAAGGAGAGGAACACAGGAGGAAGAGAGAGAGAGAGAGAGAGAGAGAGAGAGGAGGAAGAGGAAGAGGAAGAAGAAGAAAGGAGGAGGAGGGCGATATTGATGACCAGAAAGAAGAGCAAGAGGAGCAGGAAGAGGAGAGGAGGAGGAGGAGGAAGAGGACGAAGACAACGACGATGAGCAGAGAGAAAGAGCAGGAGGAGCAGGGGGAGGAGAGCACGACGAGGAAGACGAAGAGGACGATGAGAAGAGAGAGGTGAGCAGGAGAAGAACGACCAGGAGGAGAGGAGGAGGAGCAGGAGAGGAGGAGGAGGAGAGGAGGAGGAGGAGCAGGAGGAGGGCGTTAACAACGAACGTTGAACG